GAGGCAGGAGGATCAGGAATTCAAGATTATCCTTGGCTACATAGGGAGTTCTAGGCTAGCCTGGGCTATACAAGAACGAGCCACAGACATCTGAAACACTATCTTTACTCCTGAGGTCAAAAGGTATGAACGGTAAACATGTTAGGAGGGAAAGGATACGGCCTGCTGGTTTCCTCAATAAGCATTTCATATTTAATTAGGGATAGCTCAAATTAAAAACTAGTTAGAGTACACGAGAAATGCCCAGTTAGCGACTACTGAAATGAAAGGTCTAACCCAGTATGCATTCCTGATTTTGAAAGCAGATTGCGAATTTAATTGTTTCATCCTGGAAGGTGGAATCACCCAACTACTGAAAGAGAGCAAGCACACAGAGCCCTGGTAGGACCACTGAACGGTCAAAGGGTCACAAAGTTTCAGTCTTGCTAAAGAACAAAATGAAGAAAAGAATTACAACTCACTAGGTGGTGCTGTTTTCCTTTCCCTACCTATAAACATTAATAAAGTTTTTCCAAATTCTGTCAAGAAATTACAGTGCTTTCATTTGGTGCAGTAACTAACAAAGGAGTCCAATGTGGAGGGAATAAGAGGAAAGAGCAACGGTTTCACAAAAGGAAGTCTAGGTGCTTTTCTCCCCTTTAAAAACAAAAGCCGTAATTTGAGTCACCACAAGCCACTGCCAAATTAAGCTCTGCTCCTAGACCCCGTGCATGAGAAGCCAAGTTACAAAAGACATCTTGTGTCACAACTAGCTAGCTTTGTCTTTCTGGAGCTGGAGTCCCATACTACCACCCCCCTTTTCCCACCTCAGTCATACATAACCAGACACCAATAATGGCACCAGGGTTGAAGCCGGCAGGCTTTAAGAAGGCAATAAAAAAAATTTTCAACTTTATTAACATGTACAAAAGCAGGCTCCCTATTGTCCCCCATTGATGGTTCTTTACCAGCACCCTTACCTCAGTGGTGGCCCCAGCATCCATTTAGCTGTGCAATTTCAAAACCAGAAGGCACCTGACCCAGCCCTTGGCCCTGTGCATCCAATCCACTTCCAAAGGCTTTCACGTCTACCTCCCCTGGTCCAGGCTGTCGCCTCTCCTATAAGGTAGCTCTTTTTATAGGGGCCACCCTTGCTTTCTCAGGTTCCTATAAATTCTCATAGTCCAAAGTGCAGTCAACTTTCCAAAAGGCAAATCGAGTCACATCACTTCCTTCTAGAAGATCAAAACCTGAGTTAAGATTGAAATGCTGGGGTATAGACAGCAAGACACAGCAACGTGATTTCCTCTACAGTCATGCCAAACTGCAAGTGGACCCCTAATTCCTCCTAATTCCTCCTGCTTTGGGGCCAGGATGCTTGGAGTTGCCCCCACCCCTATTTAACACCCATTGGTTCCTCACTGCTCAATGTTCCTTCTCACAGGGCTGCAACTCTGCATTTACTGAGATTACTGTCTGTCACCAAACCAGACTGTAAATCCAGATGACAGGGGTTACTGCTGTGTCTGCCATTTGGCGCCTCAACACCTCTCACAGGAACTCAGCAAATGTCTGCTGCACTACTGGACAAGCTATAAATATTCATCATGCCTTACAGAGTGATGACGGCAGATTGGTAACACTAGCCAACATTTCTCACCACCACGTGCCAAAAATCTTAGCTACCAAATTCACCAGCTGCCCTCGGTGAAAGGCGTGGGGTGGGGTGGGGGGATGGGAGGGGATGACCATGTGTCCTCCTCAATGAAGGGGTGTGTGTGTGTGTGTGTTTAAAACATATCAGTGTATTCAGTAAATTCTGTCACTGTTAAAATACCAAGTGGAAAGACATAAGGTTGTCTCAGAAATTATCTTGGCTCAGTGGTAGAGCACTGGCCTAGTGTGTGTGAAGCCCTGGGTTCAATCCTCGCAGTGCAAAACAAAGATTGAGCCCAGGGTAGAACTTCAAACACACATTCAAGCTCAAATAGAGGGTAAACCTCCTTTTACAGTAGAAACTCCACACCACCACTTTGACATGAACCTAGTAAAGGCAGCTGGGGCCACAGAGAGGCAGTTCCCCAAAACTCTCAAGATAGATCTGAGATGGTAGGGTTTGAAAGGCACCCTTCACTGCTAGGCTTGCCTTCAGGGGAGCTCCTCTCCAGCACCCCAAGCCTCCCTGCCTCCTTCCCAACAAACCAAGAAAGGTTGGCAAGAATGCAGGAGGAAGGAGGGGAGAGAGAGGAGTTCCCAGGCCACCCTGCCTGAATGGTTGCACAAGAATTGCTTCCTGAACTGGCTGGCTCCAGCATGCCAACCCCACCCCTGTCCCCAGAGGAAGCCACACAGTGCCCCATCCAGAGACCAGCTGAGCAGAGGCCAAGGTGCGCTGGAGCACCACACTGCTTTCCTTGAAAGTCCATCGTCCCAGGGGTAGAGCCCCCAGCAGCCATGGGAAACTGGGAGACCAGACAATAGGCCACAGCTGTCCCTCCCCAAAGCCTTCCAGCAGAATTCTGCTGAGATTTATGGCAGCTTCTCCAATGGATCACCAGTTTCCCCTCCTCACCCAATGGTTGGCTTAACTATCACACTTAACTGGGGCTCTTTCCCTCTTTGAAACCTTGGTGCAGCAAGTTCAGCTCTATTTTAGTAAAAATGCTTGGGTCTTAGGTAGAGTACCGGACTGCAAGCCTCCACAAAACAAGAATCATGTCAACCTCTGTGCAGGGTACCCTACTTGCTGAATAAATAAACACTAACCTTTAAAAACAGTCTGAATACTGTTTTATTGGTACTGTTTTATGAAAAGTCATCTAAGGTTTGTGAATTAACCACCCGGTGGAAGTCCAAAACCAACACTTGAGGTGTATCTACTGCTGTGATTGCCCCTTAATCCAGTAAAAACATCCAGTCCCACTCAAGCCTTCCACAGAAATACTCATTTGGGGCTTAAATAGGATCAATAACCCTTTGTTTAAAGGACATACCTACAGAGCTTGCAGGTGGATGCTTCATTAAACATTTACTGAAGCAGGAGGTAAACAAACCAAGCTCCCCCATCCCACCAACTAAACAAAACTAACAAACTCATTTTCCCTAACAGCCTTAGGGGAGGTTAGCATGCATGTAGTGATTACCCTCTAACATGATTCACAGTCTATTTCTAACATCCGCCCCTTCCCCAAATGGGGTAGGTAGGGATTTCCTACAACAGGCAGGCAGACAGGCACCTAGAACCTAAGGAGACCTCTCAACAATGTCGGGCCATTGTTACCTGTGGCTATTACAGAAAACATAGCCTTCAGAAAAGTTACTTTGTTCTTGAAGCTGGGACACACACAATGGCTACTCTCCTTCAATAGTTGAATAACTATATCAGAAACAACTTTTAAGTTTTTAACTACAAAAGACCTTTAAAACTAGATGAAATTCAAACATACTGACCATTAAGGAGGAAAAAAAGAGAACTTTAAAAAGGAAGTGATTTTGACACAGTGCAATGTGGATGAACTTGGAAGACATTATTTGTGCAAAGATCCCACCCACATGAGGTCCCTAGAATGCTCAATTCACAGAGGTTAGAAAGTATGGGGTAGCCGGGGCCTGGGAAAATGGAGGCTTGTGTTGTAAGGGTACTATGGGTCATTTAGAATGGTACAAGCAAAACCTCACACACATCAAAATTTTAAAATTAGAATGGTGAGGTTCGAGAGACATCTATAGAGTGCTGCTAAACTGCAAACTTAAAATGTCTACAAAGGTAAATTATATGTGATACATATTTTACAATAAAAAAGAAAAAGAAATCATAGTGTCTGAAGAAAGAAAGCAACTGGGACCAGGTTCACTGACTTTTTCTGGGCAAACAGCTGACACTTGCATCTTTTAATGAAATCAAGAAAACTAACCAGGCACTAATGTCTTGACATCCCCAGCATTCTGCATCGGCCTGCATAAGCCATCCTGGTCTAGTTCTATATCACGGGCATTGTAGAGCTTAGATGAGTCACCTTTGAGTTTGAAATAAAGGAATTATGTAGGATCCAAATACTGTCTCATGAATAACTTGGACAAAAAACTACATTGGTGTCTAAATCTATTACCACGTTAAGAACAATTTCTTTATCCTAACAGAAAAGTAAGATTTTTAATAAACTCCTTTCAGCGACTATAAAATTTAAAAGTAGAAAAAACACCAACACTGATCACAGAACCAATAGAAAAAAAAACTATATATCTTTACTTGTAATTTTTAAAGAACCTTCAGATTTGATTCAAAACTCAATTTAAAAACTGTAAAACTCTCCCCCGAACTAGTTACTAGTAACCAGCGTTAAGGTGGGTGGGCTATAAACCAACCACTTTCTAAGACGCGCCCTAGGACCTGCCTTTCTGTCCCTGTCCCCCTTCCCCGCTTGGGTCCCACCAGCGATCTCGGCACAATCAGATTCAGGGACAGCAAGCAAGCACGCAGCATGTTAATTAGCTGAAGTTCAAGACCAGAGCCCAGTGAACCTCCTTATCAAGCCTCGGGGACGCCTCATCTGCAATTCAAGTCCAGGGCTAACCCTCTGAGATAGGAATCCTGCTGCAAACAGCAGATTCCCCAGTTGGCAGGGCCGCGCCTCCCCGGCCTTCAGGAAAGGGGCAGAGGCGAGGCTGCCCTCGGCGGAAAGCCTCTCCTCTCCCAAATGCCCTTCAAATCGCCCAGGAAGGCGTGGGTTAAGTGGTTTCGGTCTCTAGATGGAACCGGGAGAGCAGGTGTAGGTCGTCGGAAGCCACCCAGGCTCCGTGCGATTTGCACTTGTTAGGAAACTTCAAAGTAACATTAGCAGGCGCTTCGAATGCCGGAGGAAGAACCAGGGAAGAAAGGCTGGCGACCGAAAAGCACTAAGGGTCCCACCAAGGGTCGGCCGATAACCAGGTAGTCCGCACCCTCCACTAGGAAAAGAACTGGCCACCGCTCGCACGAGCTGGCTCCCCCGGACACCCGCTCCGGAACCGGGACAGCTTACCGGCTTGGGCATCTTGGCTGGCTGGTGGCTGCGTGGACCCTGGGAAGCTCGGCTGCGCGGTGGAGACGCGTCGGGACCTGCAGACAGAGGGAAGCCCTGAGCGCGCCCCGCAGACCCGGGCTTAAGAACCGGTCGGGCGGCGCCGGGTGAGTCACCGCCCAGTCAGGCCCCGGGCGGGGCGCGCGGGGCCGAGCGCGGGGACGCGCGGAGCCGGAGGCGCGGGAAGCGGGGGCCCGGCGCTCTCCAAGTTTCACTTAGTGTAGCAACGGTTGCCCCGGAGCCGAAAACCTCAACTTTCTTTCAAAAAGTGGGAGCGGCCGGGAGAGGGCGCGTTCACGCAGCGCGCGCTCCGGGAAGGGGACGCGGGGACGGAGAGTCGCGCGGCAGCTCGGTGCGCCCCGGGCTCGTCCGCCCTTCCCGGCGCCCTGAGACCCTGCACAGGCGGTCCCTCCACCCGGTGGCACCGGCCGTGGGGTCCCGGGCCCCTGTCCCCGCCGGGCAGCGCGCGCCCCGCTCACCCGTGTGCCGTGCGCTGCTCCCGTGGCCCGCGCTTCCACCGCCCGCGCTCCCGAAACCCCCAGGGGCGGGGTCCCGGGGCCGCGCCCCTTCCCGCCCGCGCGACCTGCGAGGTGCACCCCGCCATGATGGCCGCGGACCCGCGCTGGGACCCCCGACTCGGACCCGGACCGAAGCGTCTCACGCGCGCCCTCGCTCGGGGACTCTGTGGAATCCCGTGCCACTCGTGAACGCTCATGGAGGGTGCGAGTGCTCCACGTTGCACGGAGGGAAATCGAGGAAATGCAACTCAGTCTGGCGGGGCGAGCGGCCACAGTTGATGGGAGAGGCTGCCGGGTCACCCTTGGCCGGGGACCTGCGTTCCGAGTACTCGGCCTGGCGGGTACCTGGCCCCCGGGTCTCTGCGCACGTGCCCCTTGCAGCCTCCAATGCAGACACAAGCCTAGAACAAGACTCCACTGCCTTATGCCGTGGTTAAAGGACTTATTTGTGGCTTTATTTGACTTGACTAGCAAAAAAGTTTCACGAGGAGTCGTCTCTGAAGTTCTAGGAATTAATTTTTTTAAAGACTTGTTTTGCTACTAATTCTCAAAGGGAATTAAAAAAAAAAAAACAAAAACCCACGAAGCACATGAACCCTGGTGGTCAGTGGAATTTGTTGTTCGATGATTAAAGAGTTGGTTCTCAAAGATTGGTTCAGAAACTGTCAGGGCCCGTGGGGACAGAGGGGCTGCGCAGCTGGAGGTTGAGAAAGGCGGTCTGGAGCCCAGTACCAGCTGCAGCAGGCAGTTGAGTGAAGTTGAAACCAGAGCGTCTCCTGAATTTTTTTCCTGGGGGAACTGGTTAGGTTGATCCTTAGTTTTCTCATCTGTAAAACTTCCCAGCTTGGGTTGTAATGAAGATGGGAAGGGGTTAATACGTGCAAAATGCCAGCAGCAGTAGGGTTAGCATTCAGCGCTATCCTGGAATAGAGCGAGCAGTGACTTTGGACGAAGTTTCAAACTCTGACTCACTATCCTAATGTGTAGGATGTAGACTCTAAGAACACTGCCTACGTGGATGTGGAATTAAATGAGATACATGAAGTTAGCATGATGCTGGGTGGCTAGTAATGCTCGTTATGGGGCACGTATCACTGAGCTGCAGGTCCAGGCATTTCAGAATGTAAGAAACATTAAATATTGGTGTTTTCTTTCAAACCCTGTAAAACATGGTTTATGGCCAGAAATTCTAGTCTTTTAATCCCCCCACACCCTGGAAGACTTTTGTTTAAGGAAAGGCACTGATGCCTTCTGGATCCTGAGGACCTGGGGTAGAGGAGCTCCTCCCCCTTCCTTTGTGCCCATTTTTTAAAAACTAGCCAATGGGGAAAAGACACAGTTCAGCCTTAGGGATAAAAGTCTGTCAAGCTTCTGGGTCCTGTGTGCCTGCTGGCTCTCACAGACCCGTAGTACACCCTTTTGCTTTCATTTTGTCCTGTTCTTTCTACAGCGTACGTGGGATCCTTGGACCTCAGATTTTATTCTAAGAATTAGCAAGGAAGAAGGCCACATCTGAGATTTTGTTCTCTCATCAGTGCAGCCTGTTCCCTATGAAAGGTGGAATTTCTTTTTTATTAAAGTGCAAGATAATGGTAACTGAAGAAACTATGGAAGATACTTAAATCACCTCCAACAATAACATTGTCAATTGGACAAACTCCTGACACACCCCACCTGGCCTGCCCTGAAGCCTTGTTTACTATTTTTGGTTCCTAACTCTGATAGTACACAAATCTAATTAAATTTTATCTCATTCAGTTTACAGTATATTGTCTTCTTAAATAGATGTTTGAAATAGCCAGTGGCCCCAAGACTTTCTGAAGCATTTTGGAACCTTACCCTCCTGAGGAATTCGGAAAAAAATGTCCTGTGGGTAGTGTGGTTAAAATGAAAAGATGACTGGGTTTAGAAACAAACAGCAAAGGCTGTATTCTGTCTCCAGCACTTTGCATCTGGTCACTCTGGGCAGGCCATACAACTCAAGCTTCCCTCTCTTCATCCATAAAGTGAAGGTGACAGTACATAGTTTGTAGCAGTCTTATGTTACTGAGTCACACAGAGCACTTATGCATATTCAACATATGAATATTCTTTCTTGCATAAATTGATACAAAGCCATAGTTTATATATGTTTTTCTCATGTATTTCCCATTATTTTTTTATGTGTATGAGTGCATTGCCTGCATGTGTGTAGTCATGCAATGCCCTTGGAAGTCAGAAAAGGGTGCTGGGTCCCCTGGAATTGCACTTACAGTTGCTAACCACCATGTGAGGAACTCTGGTCCTCTGCAAGAACAGCTTGTACTCTTAACCACTGAGCCACATCTCCAGCCCCTGTCTTCCATTATTATAAACATTACAAGTAGCACTTAGTTGTTACTGTACAGGGTAGCCACCCCCCCCATAAAGCCATGTATATTATATCTAATGGCTGTTTTAGAGGGATTTTTCTAGGGTTATCTGTTTTTGTCTGTTTTTAGAACCTAAACCCTTCAGCCCAGCACTTACAGGAGTCTGAACTCCAAGGCAGTCTGTGAGACTTGCTTAGGACAGTGGTTTGAAGGCTTAGGACCTCTTGGTGGCCCTGGAAATATGTGCCTTTAACAAGCCAGCCCCCTCCCCCCGTTTCACTACCCACCCTGGTGTTCTGACACAAGTAATTTTGAGAACTTCTGACATAGTATATTACATTTTAACAGGACCCTGACATGTATGACTTGCCTTCTAGGTCTCTTCACCCTTTGATTGTGAGGCTCTGGCCTGTATTTGAAATTGTTTTTGTTAGCATAGGCTAATCAGTGCCTCTGTAAAAAGAGAGGAAGCAGTGGAGCCAAGAGTCTTGGATATGAGCCCAGTCTGTATTCATCTAGCTTTGTCTAGCTATCGACCTTCACTGAAACCATATTTCAGGGTTTCAGGTAGGGGAGCAGGATCATGTCTACCTCATGAACCAGGGGAAAGGTTCTCTGGGCACTTTGCTTGGAGTTCTTGAGGCAAGGTTAAACCCAAGAGGGGCCTTCCTCACTGTAGGAAATTTCAGAACCATTACAGAACAGTCACTTCCTCCAACATACCCTCTAGTCTTTCTATCAAACCACCTCAGAACCTGTCTCCACACAGGTGCCAGGTTAATCTCAACCAATTAAAACAAGTCTGAAAATAGTATACCAATCTCCAGCTTTGAAAGGACAGTCAATAAGCAATAGGGAAACAAACATATGCAGAGAGTGCCCTTGGCCAAGAGGATCTCAGTGCTCCTTCAGCACTTAACCTTGTGAAAACTCAGGACCGGGACCATGGGGAGAGGAACGGGAACCTTCACTAAGGGAAACTTCACAGAGATTCCCCAGCATCGATAACACTGTATCAAGATGGTGATCCATGGATCCTTTATGGCCTTCTCTCTAGAGCCAAGATAGACTTGTTTTAAACATAATCCTAGGGTAAGCTTTTCATTAGCTGACATGATGCCATAGAGAAACAGAGTCTTAAAGAGTTCCATGAACTGAAGATGCAAATTCCAGTTGTTACTGGTTTCCTTTCCAGCTTCTGGAAGGACTAAGGTCCTTTCTAAGCAAGTGGGTGCAAGGTGGGGAAACAGCACAGGCTCACACAGTCTGAAGGTGCCACAGGGCTATGTTCAGGTGTGCTCTGTATCTAGAAAACCTAAGGAATTCTACAGGACAGAAAGCCAGGAGTCTCTTGGCTCAAATTTGACAGTATAGCTTACTAAGAAGAAGGCTAAGCACAGGTCTTCCATTTAATAGTTTTCTTCATTTATTGAACAATTTGCATAACTATCACTAATAATTTTATGTGAGAGAATACTAATAACCATACAAGTTATTTGACTAATAACTCCTAAGTAGCATATCTTCCTATTACTCCTTTTCCCCTTCTTTGAAAAGAAACCCATCTACCTCAATAGCATGTGGTAAAACTAGGCAGTGAGAGGAGTTTTAAACCATACCTGTGCTGATACCCTCATTTTACAGAGGAGGCAGACCCAGAGCCATTGAGTGAATAGTTTTCATTTCTGTACCCAAATCTTCCTTGTTAAGATTACTATTTATAGGGCTGGAGAGATGGCTCAGTGGTTAAGAGCACTGGCTGTTCTTGTAGAGGACCTGGGTTCAGATCCCAGCATCCACATGGTGGCTAACAACCATCTGTAACTCCAGTTCAAGGGGATCTGACACCCTCTTCTGGTCTCTGCAGGCATTGCATGACATGGGTGCACTTACATATAAATATACATAAAATAATATACTTTTAAAAAAATCACCATTTACTTCCAGCCTACTAATTCCAAGAGCTGCACCTCCTGGCCTCAATTTACCCCTCTCCAAAGCAGCATGGGCATATTTGAACACTGTCCCAGAAGGTTCTGTTCTTAGGGTTTCCATGTTCTCTCTAGATCCATTTTTCCTCCCTAGCCTTTCCCAGCTCAGTGTAGCTCAGACCAGGCCCTTATCTGGGTACACTGCCTTCCCAGGTCATCTTGTCAGTTCCCAGGGCTTCAGTCACTCTCCAGCTTTGACCTTGACTTCTCCAGTGTTCTTGACTGTTTCAAGGGTACCCCTGTTACTCAAGCCTTCTCCCACCCCCTCCTTCTCAGCAAACAGCTATCTCTGCCAGCCTGATCTTTTCTATCTTCCAGGTTTTTACCCAAAGGCCTATCTGCAGAGAGAAGTTCCCAGCCAGCCTTGTCCTCCCAGTGCATGGCTGCTCTGCAGTTGCCCTGTTTGTTTGCTCTCTCCCCCACAAAAGCCAACCCTCCTGTCGGTCTTGTTCACTGGCCAGGCCCTGGGCAGCAGGAGCAGTGCCTGGGGCACTGTAGATACTTAGGCAATGTATTATTATAAGCAAACATAGGAACACTGCTCGTTAGTACCAAGCGAGGTTCTCAGCAGTTTGCCCTCCCCCTGTCTGCTCGGATGATAATCAGCCATGACAGGCTTAACCTAGTTTTTCTTCTCGACCTCAGCTGGCTGAGGTCCCGCCAAAATCC